CCTAAGTCATGGACTGATGTACATTTCTACACACAGTTGACTTTACTAAATAACTATATATTTAGGAGATAACCCTCTTACAATTTCTATGATGGAAAAGTGTTCTAAAAGTGCAATATCCTTTTCTACTCTGGGCTGGTGGAGGTGCTGAGTGACTGTGAATGGGAGCGGATGTCCCTGTCCCACGTTAAACAAGAAACAGCTCTCAAACTAGCAACACTGCAGCTCTGTGTCAAAATGACCTTTTGGAAATGGGTGGAGTATGTCTTGGAATAATGTTTCAATTCAATCATATTTCCGTTCATTAGCTAAATGTTAGTGGGTTTACTTAAGGCAAACTGTGCTGTCGTCATGTGAAAAATAGACGTGGGACAGATTTTCCTCTGGTTCCATGGAATCCAGTGGCTTAATGGACTTTGTGTGAAATTAACCTGGTCTGTTAGTATTACTTGGACAACAAAATCAAGTCCCGGAAGAAGGTCTCGGTCTGTATGGGACCTTTCTGCATTGTGTTTGCATGTTCTCCCAGTGTCTGTAGGTTTCTTACCACTAAAAATGTGCATTAGGTATGAAGCTGTTTGGATGGTATTTAATAATAATGCATTGATTTATATACCGCTTTTCTGGACACTCAAAGACTCTTCACATGTCATTATTCTTTCACTCAATACATGGTGGTGATAAACTACTATTGTAGCCACAGCTGCCCTGGGGCACACTGTCGGAGGCAAAGCAACCAGTATGTGCCATTGGCCCCTCTGACCACCACCAATCATTGACACACTAGATTGATTCTAGGCAAGTTTGACACTTCACTGCCGCAGTCACTCCACTGTGGCACCTGGTGATCCCAGAGGTCTCCCATCACAGTACTAACCAAGCCCTGCCCTGTACAGCTTCAGAGGTCTGACGGGATCTGGCTTTCGCATTCAAGCTTGGCCATTATGTTGTTGTGGGAGGGTCCAGTATCCTTTGCTGCAGACCCACTTCCATCTCGCTGTAGACATTTATTGCCCTAATAAACTTTCAGAATAAGAATAATAAGAATAAGATTACATCAAGATTCACACAAAAATATACTGTAAATGTTGTTATTCTCTTTGGAAAACCTCATTCATTTTGATAAATCCAGTTGGTACCACCTGGACTGGATCTGGGCTGTCAAGGGCTTTCAAATGAAGACCGACATGGACATATTATTGTGTTACTTTAGGTGGAGCTGAAGTCACCTGGATGATGATCGCTTATTATCTCATATCGAATATCGCACTAATTTCCAGTATCGTGCAGGCTTTGTTCTAATCTTTAAAATGATTCATGGCATGTGTATAGTATCAGAGCTGAAGTTGGCTGGATGACATTGTGAAGTGCTTAGGGCTAGTGTTGGCAAAGTGTTGTTCAGACTTTGCAGTCTGATGTTTGGATTCTGCAGCTGAACTTTAAAATGAGCGACAACATGTTGTGTTTAAACAAATGAGTTTCTCAGCGAAGGGCAATGAAACCTCAGCCAATGCGATGAAAGTGACCCCTTTTGAATGATAATGTTTGGTAAATAACTTAAAGATTAAATGTACACTATATGATTGTGACCAAAATGAATGTCATATAGCTTTTTATATTGACTATAGTATATGCACAGTATACAAGATACACAATCACATTAACAACATTTATATATATATATATATATATTTATGTTTTTACAAGCATTTAGTCAATTATTAACATTAATTAGTCTATCAGTTTCATGTTGTAATTTGAGTTCCAGAAGCACTTTGGGTGACCTTGGTCTGTAAAAATACACTACATAAATAAAGATTACTTTACTTACTTCCTGAAGTAAATTGACCTTGAAACTTTGTTATAATTCTCACCTCAAAGTTTCACCTCTACGCACAAATGCGCACGCACGCACACACACACACACAGCCGTCGGAGTGAGTGCAGTGAGCTGGTAGTAGCAGGAAATGGGCAGTGAGGGTGTGCCAAGACAGGAAGCCCTCACGGAGCTCCTGCCGCCCGCCTCAGGCCACGTCAGAACCAGGACTCACCACGGTCCCCGCTCCACCTCAGACTGTACTCTCTACCATGTGGGGGGTCTCTCAAATCCATGAAAAAAACACATATTTCATAAAAGGAGCAGCACAGTGGCTGAGTGGTTGACGATCTCGATTCTCAGCAAGAAAGTCCTGGGTTCAATTCAGGGGCTTTCTGAGTGGAGTCTGCATGTTCTCCCCATGTCCTTGTATGTTCCCTCTGGGCGCTTCGGTTTCGCCTATACCTTTGCTGAAAGAGAGATTCTAAAATCTCAGTGGGACTTTTCTGGTTAAAGTAAAGTTATAAATAAATATTGTCTTAATCTTGTGACAAATTCTAAATGATATACACGTAGACAGATATAAAAACATCAGTATTTATAGTTATAATTTATTGTCACAAATTAGTTATACCTTAATATGCTCCAATTATGACTCAAAATAATCAATTGAGTCATAATTGTCTACCTGTAATATTTACCACAGATGAAGTACCAGATACAGATTCTACAACCTAAACGTCCAATGTGTAGCTCCTGCTCATGTTTTCAGCTCAGATACAAATACAATCCAAACCTTTGTTGTCAGTGTGTTGCCTGCATGTTAAGAACACACTCCAGCTCTGATTACAAATGTTCTGCCGGATGAGCTTCAGGCAGTGACCAAACCAGCTAGATTTCACCAAAGAAACTGGCAACCCAAATGAGAGACTCATGCGACGCCAATTCTGCTTTTTGATTGGATATTCAGCTTGAGAAGCACATTATAAAATCTGATAAGTGCATTATATGTCGATCAAATATTAATGCTGACCAGATGATCAGAAAAGGCCAAATAATAGTATTTTCTTGATCACCTTGTATCTGGGGGAAACTGATATAAGAACTCGGAGATGCAGGGTCTAAAATAAACAAAATCTACATTCTTGCCCTTTTAGCAATTGATACTGATTCTTGGGCTGGGCACATGTCATAATGATTGGTACCACTGTTTCACCTTGTTTTCAGGTAGTTCAGCTTCCCCCACTTCTCATGAGAATGCTGTAATTTGACCTTTTTTATTTTGTATCCTAAATAGTGATAATGAAAATATTGTCAATAAAAAATGGATGAGATTAAGTCTGCCGTAAAATGACATTATGAAGCATTTTACAGATCCACCACGTCTATGACACGCTTCTAACCAGACCCATGCGCAATTGTTGTATCACAAATACTAATATTGTGAAACGTGGACACAACAGAGCGCGAGGCAGTGAGCAGAGGCTGTGGGATTTCACACACAGAGGACACTTCCTTTCTGTGTGAACCGACTTTTCATCCAAGAACAGAGGCTCTTTGGGGCATGTCCCAGGCCCAGGCAGCTCTCTCTCTCAGGGGGCAGGAACTGAACAGACAGCATAAGAACGAGAAGCCCTAAATAAAACAATCCTTTTTTGGAAAAATGTGAACAATTGTAGATAAAGGGGTTAGCTTGTAAGCCACAGTAAATGTTTTACTACAGCAAATATATGCATCACAAAGTATAACCACAAAAAAAAATACAAAATAATGAATGAATGTCAAATTATGTACATTTAATCATTTCTATCACATTTTTCAGAGTCAGAATAATGTTTTTTTATCCAATTGCAAAACGTTGTTTATTTTTAATTTACGCATTACTTTCCAGTGGATTCATTCATTTCCAGTGTCATAAGATTAAAACAAAAATCCAACTTTCGGGCCTATGCTGAGAAATGTCAGTCTGAAGCTTCCAGAGGTTGATGCGGGGGTGATGGCTGGTACTTCCCTCCACCGATGCCAAGAGCTGAAGGCTGCTGCTGCACTCATCCAGTCACAACTGGTTTGTTTGTTGATGAGATATAGTGCATTGCATACTTCCAAAACATGAAACGAAAGTAACCCGCTGTCAAGAAAATGGCTGTAATAATACCACACAAAAAGTTAGATTAAATCAGAGCTGGACCAGGTAGAGTAGACTGATTTACATATTTATTATTTACATGCATTACATTTATTGACCTTTTATTTAACCTGGAAAGTCCCACTGAAATTACGAAATCTCTGTTTGAGGGGAGTCCTGGCCCCAGAGAGCGGGGCCGGGAGTGGGGTCAGGGAGGGTGTTATGGAGGACTATTGTGCATGTTTGTAGAGGTAGGGGATACAGAGCACCCGGAGGAAACCTATGCAGACACTGGGAGAACATGCAAACCCCCCAAAACCCAGGACTTTCTCTCTTCAATCAGTATTTTTGTATCATAAGAAAAGGATTTAAATTTATATAAACATAGTGGAGGTTTGTTTTGACTTTCAGTAATGTCATATTAGTTCATCGTAAAAGAAAAGGGTTGAAAAGTCGACTTGAGTTGATTCAGAGCAGTGGCTTCTTGTTCCCTTATTCTTCAGAAGCTCTCGTTGGGAATATTTGCAGTCAGTGTCGGTGACGGTTCAAATCTAAGCTGCTAATGAAATGCTTGTGTTTGTCAGCAGCTACTCCTGGTAGATAGGGATAGGAACGCACTCCGCTGTGGTGTCATCAAGGCTGCTGCACAAAAGGGTATTTGCAAATTAACAATAACTGGAACAAATTATATGGTCCTGGACAAACTGTTTTGGACCATATGATTTGGAAAGACTTTAATGTAGTGTTTGAACTGGGATTAAACTGCAAATATTCTTCTGTCATTCTCGTTAAATCAATGTGTTTTGGCTGTTGGTGTATTTTACAGACCATGCTTTCTATTGAACCATGAGTTTGGCTTTTTCAAAGGCAAGAGGTGCTTAGGCTTTGGGAACTGCTGCCTTGAATACCAACTCTGTGTAAAATAGGTCAATCACCATTCTCTTAAAAGCTCTGCCGCTCATTTCCCAGGTGAACAAAAAAACCCGGAAATAGCAGAGACACTGAAAATCACTGGTTTATTATGCTGTGGTTAATAATACGTTTCTTTTTCTCTTTCAGGCCGTCAGCATCAACAAGGCCATCAACACACAGGAAGTGGCTGTCAAAGAGAAACATGCCAGGAATATCCTTATCATGATTTGTCCCTTTCCAATTTTTTCCATCTGTGTGTGCAACTTAAGGGCTGAACGTTACACATGGTTTAAGCCTTTTATGCAAGTTTTAGCTGCAGACATTATTCATGATTTAGGAAGTACTCGTCTGGTATGTAATATTCAGACTTAGGAGACTTGCCACAGACATTATTTTGCACCACATACAGCACCATCAAGTAAAACATACTTAATCCAATTCATTGATTATAATATGGAAGAATTAAGAGGTGGCTGAAAAGAAGGAGGTGAATGCAAGTGTTTTCTTTGTGAAGGTTTGTTTATAGCTTTTTACTTTATACATTATCATTGGATCAAAAAGTTAGACTGAAACAGAACTCAACCAGGTGGCACAGTAGTCTAGACTGGTTTACATATTTTACATTTACACTTGCTACGTTTTTGATGGATTGCTACTAATTGTGTTTTGTTTTCATTGTGTAGTAGAGTAAACAAAAGGCTTTATAATAAGGTATAACATGCCATGGTGACAAGCTGTAAACTGATATTTCGAACAACCCAGATATCGTCAGACCAACATATCAGCCAATCTCCAGCAAACATACCTGGAAGCCTGTTCACATGTTTTTATACTTCCTTTTTAAGTATTTCAATAGTTCTCAGATCAAATCAGCTCACAACCCTTGACCATTCCTTCCACCTTGCATTCTGGGAACTCACCATGAGAAAGGAGCGCACACGTTCTGGGCAGCGGTCAACAGACTTCCTCTGTCCAGCAACGCCGTTCTCTGCTGGAAGTTCTGCCACGTCTTCCACAAGCTGCTACGGGACGGCCATCCACACGTACGGACGCAGGTCGCAGGATGAGCCGCTTTGCCTTATTTACCTTCTGCTCTCTTCCTCTTGTGCAGGTGATTAAAGACTCGATGCGAAACAAAGCCGATCTGACGGACATGAGCAGGATGTGGGTGAGGACGCACTGTTTGATTACAACTCACATCAGGAATATGCACTGATCATATGTACTAGGGCTGCGTGATATATCGGAAAAATATCGTTATCGCGATATTGGTTCCTGCGATATCCATATAGAAAAGATGCGCGATTAATAAAAAATGTTTAAAAAAAATTAAAAAAAAATGTATACATATTTTTTTCCCTTTATTAAAGACAACAAAACAGACACACATCAACATTCAACAAGAACCACAAACAAATAAGTATATAAATATATGCATTTGAAGGTAATTAATGTTATTTTTTTGTTATTTGTCTGCGTTTCAAAGCAGATTGCAATTTCAGGTGCAAGACAAAAATATCGCAATAATATCGTTATCGAAATACTAAACACTCATATCGAATATCGCTCTAATTTCCAACATTGTGCAGCTTCAAATCGCTTCAAATAAATATTTGTCCTGAGAACAGTGAGAATTTTTTTTCACATGGATTTTTTGTTTACCATTGAATAATGACTGAATACATAAACTTAAACAACACATGTTCATTGTGGATGATCAGACAGACTTCTTTCCATCAAATAAATTATCTGTCATTGCCTCCACACACTCTGACAACAACAGAGACTTTTTATAACCAAAATCCACTGCCCTCGAAGTGAGCACTAAAGCTTATAATACGTTTTTGATGTGTGCCTTCGAACTAAAACATCAGCAATAACAGCTCACACACCTGTGTCGCTGCTCCTCCTTCTCCTCCGCCTCCTCCTTCTCTGAGGAGTCGCTGCTGCTCCTCCTCACACACCATAGCTCCATGCACCGCGCTCTTTCCCTTCTCTAACCATGGATCTAACTCACTCAGTGCTAAAGTTGGTCTATGCTTGTTATAATGTACATTTGAAGAAGAAAAGTCACGGAGCTCAGTTGGCGCACCAGTATAATCGGTCCGTCTGAAACTCCCCCCAGTGAGGAAGGTTCCGCGGTGAAAAAAACACATGCCATTAAAATGCGTTAATATTTTTAACGCGTTAATTTTAATCGCGTTAATTTTAATCGCGTTAATTAATTGCAATTAACGCGTTAAAGTCCCAGCCCTAATAATAATCCAATTCACTTTATTGTTTTAACACATTTCCAAAGTAACCCACAGATAAAAGTAACAGATTCAAATAAACAAGTCTGCAAGCTCTAAATAAAAACAAATAAAATGAAATGGAGAACAATAAAATAAGCAATTAATTATATACATAAATAAAAACATAAAATAATAATGTTTGTGATGGCATAGCTCTAGAACCTGGGTGTCAAAGTCGAGACCGGGGACCAGATCCGGCCCGCGAATGATGTTTGGTTAGTATTAGAACCGGCCGCACAGGATTATTCATTTAATCATTAGATAAAATACGGTCCACTGTGTCAGGTCTTGGTTCAAATGGTTAATATGATTTATTAAACATTGAACCAGTCCGGCCCTCGGCTTGTAGCATTTTTGTTTTTGTGTGCCTCTGATGTATTTGACTTTCACATCCCTTCTATAGAAAAATGTGCTAAAAATGATTTCAAGTTTTGAGCTCTCTGTGCTTGTCCATATTCTTGGAGAAAAGAAAAAGCCAAGTCCAGCTGATTGATACAGAGTGTATATACAAAAGACAAATGACACCTAATATGATCATGCATACTCTGAATACTTTTTTTTTTACCTTTATTTAACCCGGAAAGTCCCATTGAGATTCAGAACCTCCTTTTATTTTGAGGTTGATCAACAACAAAATAATGTAATAAATCTAAACAGTTTGACAACATTTTTCACTTTAGTGCCAAGGCCTCACTAACATCCCTGTTGCTACTTATGTTTTGGATTATTTTTTGCTGATATCATGAGGCAGGAGGATACAGGAAGTGTGGTTCCTATGACCAGTGTTGCGACCTCTTTCCTATTGTGTCATGCATCCATTGTGAAAATGCATCCACATGATTTAAATAGTTTTTGAAGTGCATATAACTCGCAATCTCAAATATGTTGTTTTGGATGGATGAAAATTACAAATTAAAGGAGACATATTCTACTTAATCAACTTTTTTTTTTCAATGTCATTCTGCATCAAAAACAGACCCAGATTGCTTTCAGATCCATCCACACTAATATTCTGTTTTGTATAACGCGCCTGTCACAGTCATAGACTCTATTTAAGTTTTGCTCCTACTCACTCTGGCTCCTATTGACTTCCATTGAAAAGTAAACGCCTCTCGCTCAATAACCGTTTGTGTCTCACTCACCATCTTCTCATCTTTGGACTTTTAAAATCTATGGTTTATTGCTCTTTTTGATCCTGGTGGGTTTTTTTTTTTAATTTTCTTATTGTCTTTGTAAATTCAGATATGAGCCAAATAAGGATTGGCCAATCTGACACCTTCATTCGCAGGGGCAACTGCACCTTGAATTAGCAACCGCCTTAGCAACACATGTGCCGGCGAGCAAAGCTAACCCAGTGTTATGTCCATATAAGGAAATTGGCTCCAGCTAGCTTATGTTCTTCCACATTCAGCAAACACTACGGGTGACGTCAGCACTCGGTTACTCCACACCTAATGGACATTTAATATAATATGTCTATGGTCTCAGTCCAGTAATAATGCCACATCACTCTGAGAGCACTTTTTGGCCTTATTAAACTGATATTGTCCATAAATTAGTTTGTAAATTCCTCAGGTGAAATGACGTTCTTTGCAATCACTTAGCAGTCTTTTGGAGTCAAATTAGTTAAAACCAAACCCTTTTAACCCTTGATAGTTGTTTCACCCTGTATTTACTACTGAACATATAATTTCACATTCTAACACATGCAATGACAAAGTGAATAGCTCAATATCATCTTTAAAGGCCACTATTAAAGCATAGTAGTTCTTCTTTAAGATGATCAGAAAAGTACAATGTGTTTGTTAACATTTACTTCTTATCTTTACTCTTATACTGGATCTGCACATTATAGGAAGAGGTGAGACCCAATACTCACTGCCTATACAGTAGTTAGCATGTGGTGTGGATGTAGGCCCCAAACAGGTCTTAAATGTATTTTTGATTTGAGAAAAAGCTATACGGGAGTCATTCTTTTTATTTCTAAGTGCTTCTTTTTATAACCGCCTGTTCTTGTCTCTCCGCAGGGCCACCTGAGTGAAGGCTATGGCAAGCTGTGCAGCATCTACCTCAAACTGCTCATCACCAAAATGGAGTTCCACATCAAAGTGAGTGGGCCGGGTTCACAAAAGCCCACAGCAGAGTCCCTCTCCGCTCGTTATCTTTGTGTCTGAGTCTCTTTTCAGTGCCTGCATGTCTCTGCTGGGTATTCTCTTCATAGAAAACTCAGCCTTTCGCACTAATAGCCTCTCAGTAATGTGTTATGTCGCCTATTTCTGACAAGAGGGAGAGCAGGATGACGTGATCGCATAAGACTTGAGTGGCTGCTTTTCATTGGAAGTGAACAAAGGTCACAGAAACTTCATTAGTCTTGAAATTGTCTTTGAGAAAGCCAAACTTGAGAATTAATTTTGTTTTATCAACCAAAAACAGTGGTCAGTGGAGCGTGTTAAAGGAGCAGTATGTATAAAATCTGGCCAAAAGTGGTACTGCAGCCTCTCCCACTCTCCCTGACGCAGGTTGCCAGATATGCAGACGATTCCAGCTGGGACCATAACAGCTGAATAGACAAGAGCTTTGTCAACAACAAATCAATAACCAATACTTTTTTCTCAAAGGCCCGTAAAAAAATCCTAATATTTTCCTTGTCCTCATTAATGATTTGAGAATCATAATGAGACCTTTTTCAGTTCTGCTGTGAGTTCTGGCGCCCGGATCACAGACTTTCTGATTGGTTAAACGGTGGAGGGCAGGACAAAACAACAACAATACTTAGGGGCTGTAAAACTAATTTTGAAAATGCAAATATCTCTGAACTTTTGTTATCAGTTAAAGAAGTACATTATACCTTTATGGATATTGATTGGAATATGTTTTCTGAACCAAAGCCTAAAGTGGAGTTATTCTTGAATAAAAATACAATGGACATGATGTCTACAATATTTATGTTTACAATTGTCAAGCAGATCCAATCAGGGAGCAGAATGAGGCTCTCGTTTGGGATGCCAGTTTCTTAGTGAATGTTGTTATTAAAAAACAAAATTTCACCTAACAAAAATAGTACCACATGTGTTTAAGTGAAAGCGGGTACAAAATTAAGTAGTCATACATAATACACTAGAGTCTGTAACATTTGTGGATTAACAGCAGCAGGTGGATTGCATCAGTAATCATTGTCTAGAAAAGTTTAGGAATATAGGCATCTTTTTAGTAGTCTGGTACTTTTCCAGAGTTGCGGCACGGGACGGCACAGCACCACATGGCACTGCCCGCTTCTTTGCATTTCCCCTAGAGTTTGCGTCAGGGTTTGGGTACTTTTTTGGTAGCGCCTCGGCCGAAGCTTCACTAAAAGGTGACGTCACACAGTTACTTTTATATCAGACAAATGTAAGATAGTGAGTTATCAGCAGCACCTGGGGTAGTACTGATAAAGCTTGTCATGTGTGATGTCGCAAGACGCTTCTGAGGAAGATGGAAGTCAAAACATGTCAGCGTGATAACATGTAATAACAACACTATCTTACTTTTGTCTGGTATAAAAGAACCAAATAACTTCAAACAACATCACAGTAAGATTCTCGCAACAAAAGCTGGATTGTAATTGTTATGTTTTTACTCTACATTTTACCTGTGGTCCCGTAAAATATTTTGCACTGTTTAAGAAATATGTAACAAAACTATTCTAAAACGAACCCGTCTAAAGCATGATTGTGGAAGGGCAGCTGTGGCTCCTGTTGGTAATGTCGTGTGAATACTTGTGTCTTCCAAAGGTCAGTTAATCAACCCTGCGCTTGTGGACATAGTGTGATATTAACTATTTAATCCAGAGCTCGGACTCGTGATGTCGGCTGTAATCACATCCTGCGGAGCTTTCCACCTCCGATAAGCATCGCACTGAATCACGTCTGCCATCTTTCCTTACAGAATCCCCGTTTCCCCGGCAACCTGCAGATGTCCAACCGACAGCTGGAAGAGGCGGGAGAGAACGACGTGAACAATTTGTGAGTGTGAGATTTTGTTGAGCAGAAAACACGTATCTGGGTTGATTATTTATCAACGAGTTATGTTTATTTGAACATAGAATACATTTTTAAAAAACAGTAAGAACAAAAACAAAACAAAAAGACAATAACAAAAAAGAATTGTAATTATGTTCCAAAGTGTCTTCTGGGACGAGATCAGACAACGTTATAAACATCCTGGATTGTGTCATGCATTAAAGCTGGGGTACCGAACTTTTTTCTTCATAAATATTGTTTTTGTCCCAACAGAAAGAGACTGGTAAAAGTGAAAAGTTGTAAATAAATCAGGCCGCGTCTTTTGCATACAAAAACCTGTGAATTACTGTGTTGTGAAAGCCTGATTCTGTCACCTCCAAAGTCAAGCAGGGCAGGTCCTGGTTAGCACTGTGATGGGAGACCTCTGGGAACAGCAGATGCCACAGTGGGATGGCAGAATGTGATGAATTGTTGTTGTGTCCTCAGGCAAGACACAAAATGACTAATGCTTAACGCGTTTAGCTGAGAGCTGATTGGCTGAAAAAGCTGATCTAAAGATGTGGCCAGAAATACAACCATGTGAAAACTAGGAATCGACCTTTTTTGAGAGCAAGGAACAATTTTGACGGATTTTCTTACATAGACAATTTTCTGTTTATTTTAAAATATGGTGCCCCAGCTTTAAAGTAAATGCTAAAGTGTATGCTGAAAATTTAATAAATAATTTTGTAACTGGTATTTTTATCTGTTGCTATATACTTTTAATCTTATAAACAAAACACTATCTTTTTTCTGATGTTTTCCAGCTTCCAGTTGACTGTAGAGATGTTCGACTACTTAGAGTGTGAGCTCAACCTTTTTCTCAGTGGTGAGTGAATGTCATGTCTATTGTGAGAAGGGGATATTGTTAGCCTCTGAAACACATATTTATACTTTTGAGACTGCCCGAGCAGACAGGAAGACCCGTGTGGATTAAGACACACAATGGTTTCATAAATTTAGACACCTCAGTGCTACATGAGAGGGTGGAAGGGAGGAGGGGGGGCTGTTAGTGGTCACAAACTTAACCCTATATGCCCGCGTGCATCGGTGCCGATGCACGCGCACATGTTTTACAAATGATCCATTTACTCGCGAACGGTAAAACGTAGCAACTTACTTTTTTTTCCTCTGTGAAGTACGTAATCAGGGCTTTCCGAAACTAGTTTTGATTTGTCTGTGCAATGCACGGAGGATAAACTACGTTTGTCTGAAAGTCCGTGTCCAAAGCATGACCCGTGAGGTACAAACAGCTGTGAGATACAAACACACGGGGACTGCCAAAGATCGTCAGAGAGTGAGATCTCTCACTCCTCTGCGTTTCCTTGTTCTCCCACAGTTGAAACTACAGCTGCGATTGCAAAAAACGTCTGAAGAGTGCGCATTATTGATAAAGACGATAATAAATATAGTAAAATGACATTATGTGTATATGATGTATATAAATATATGTATTAAATAAATAATTGATTTTTTTTTTTTTTTTTTGGCTCAGTTTTTTATGTTTTACGTTTTTTACAGCTGTACTACAGAAGCAACCCCAGCATTATAGACAAACTGCTTCAGGAAGGGCATCAGGAGTACAGAGTTTTTTGCTTTTATAGTGGAATTTTGTAAAAAGTATAATAGTTAGAGATTACATTTTTTCCCCCATTATCCCCAAGACCATAAATAACATTTCTATGCAGTGTAAAAAGTTGTTTATAGCATTTCATTGTGTTTTTTCAATACATTTTTGTTAAATTGATTTTCCGTTTGATTTTTTTCTTTGTCTTTATGATTCCATCATTTTTATATAATTCATATGACAGCTTTACAATATGAATATTCTAAAACCCCAGGTTGTACTGAAAAAAACAAAGTATACTGCTTGACTCTGCATCAAAAGATGACTGTTTTATGAACCATTATACACAAAGAAAACCAGGCGAGGAAAGTTCCCCAAAATGACCCATGGGCATAGAGGGTTAACCCTGCTGTCTGGGTGAGTCATGCTCTGTTTGTGTCTCTTAAAGCCCGGACGTGGTTAAAAATAGGACACATAGTAATGTCTGAGACCACCTGATGCCAGCGTCTGTCTGCAAATGCTTCCTATATGACCCTTAATATCAGATTGTGGCTGACTGTTGAACCAGCCTGCAGCTATGAATGACTCGGCACGGAGGATATGTGTTTTCAGTTCGGTGCATGATGTCATTCTGGTTACAGGGTCCTGCTTGAGTCGTGCGTATGAGGCATTTGTGTATGTTTGTGTTTTCGAGCAGTGCAGGAAACCACGCCTTCTGGGATTTTGTAGCATGCCTGACTTTGAGGCTATTGCACACAGGGGCAGGGAAATGAAATGAGGGAGTAATGATGGAGTCATACAATTGTGTTACTGTTGGCTTCCCACTTCTCAAACCGTGCGCTCTAAACACTTAATTAGCTTTAGTAGCACAAGCCCTTTTATTGATTCTTGAATAATTAACTATTGATGTGCCTAATGGAAGACAGAGTTTTCTGTGGATGTGAGTGCTAGCTCCTGTGATCATAGACCTGTTTGCGTCTCTCCAGTCTTCAATTCTCTGGACATGTCTCGCTCGGTGTCGGTGACGGCAGCAGGACAGTGCCGCTTGGCGCCCCTCATCCAGGTCATTCTGGACTCCAGCCATCTTTACGACTACACAGTGAAACTGCTGTTCAAACTGCATTCTTGTGAGTAAAAGACACGCAAACAGAACATTGGAGAAAACTTGTGAAAGAAAGCAGACATTTTGTTATTCACCACATCAGAAACAAGAACTGATGCCTGCCTCGAATGTCAATAAAAGCATCAAAGTACAAAATATACTTCTCCAAACCACATGTGATTTCTATTCATTGTGTCAAGTTTTATTGGCTTTTCACATAAATCAGAATTATGTGATTACAAGAAGATTGGATCTGGTTCATATTTAGTTTATTCTCTTTTTTGCAGTTAAGAGACATTAGAATATCCATACATCCATCCATTTTCTACCCTTTAATCCATTTCTGGGTCAGGGGGGTGGCAGTCAGAGATGCCACCCAAGTCTCATAGCACCAGCCCCTCACTGACCCTCTGCAGGTGGTGAGTCCACAGGAGGACGGCTGCTCTCTGAGTGTGAGCACAGCCTTGATCTTTCAGTGGGAGCTTTTGGGCAAAGTGGGGTTAAGTGTCTTGCCCAAGGACACAACGACAGCAGTCATCAGTGGGAGTCGGTGGAGAAGGTGCAGAGGTGGGAATTGAACCCACGACCTTCTGGGCTTAAGGCCAATGCTCTACCAACTGAGCTACTGTCGCCCCCGACATTAGAATATTTGTGCAAAAATACCCAGTGTGCAATAAACAACAGATAAACTAAAGACAGAACAACAGACTAGAAAACACCTGACAGTGTGAAATAAGAACAAACGCATACTAAAGATGACTAACTGCTGGAATTAAAAATGCATACTTGATAAAGTATTATTGTGGAATCCATTGTGATAATTAAATTCCCAAGATCATGTCAAGGCTGACAGCTTCCTGCTCTGGATGTACCCTTGCGGTATTGAAATAGTTTGTACAAATACGTTGAATGTTCTCACATGAGTTCTGTGTGCAGGTCTTCCTGCAGACACGCTACAAGGCCACAGAGACCGGTTTCAGGAGCAGTTCAAAAAGTAAGAACATCTTTTGCATCTCAGGCTTTAAGTGATTAGACACAGTGTTCACGCTTTTGACTCTGAGTGACCAATGAACAGTGTTATTTCTGCCCCAGGGATCACTGTGTTCTCTCCTCTTAAACATTGTCTCTCCATGTGCCACAGGTTAAAGAGTCTCTTCTACCGCTCCAGCAACCTACAGTATTTTAAAAGACTCATTCAGATCCCCCAGCTTCCTGAGGTAACCCACTATTTACATTTGTCACAAGTTGATACAGGGCTGTGGAAAAAAACACATAAGCAAATGTAAAGAACTTCTGAAACTAATAGTTGTAGTTCCACTTCTCTTACCCTCCTCTTGGCGTTGAAAGTCATATCTGTGTCAGTTATGCTCTTGTGTATGGACTTGTAATCACAGTGATATTTTTCAGAACCCTCCTAACTTCCTGCGTGCGTCAGCTCTGTCGGAGCACATCAGCCCAGTGGTGGTGATCCCGGCAGAGTCCTCGTCCCCAGAGTCCGAGCACTTGGTGGAGACGGACGATCTCGTGGACACAGACATCCCCGTTCTACCGGTAAACCACACTACTCCCGCAGGAAGGGGAGGGGTTTGAATATTATGGATAAAAATACCACATGTGATGGTTCATGATGGATCCAATATTTACCTAGCTTAAGAAAAAGAAGTGCTTTTGGCTGTAAACAAATACTTCTTATGTGATTTACTGGTTTGTGCTACTTACTGGTCTCACATTTTGTTTCCTTTCATCTGTGAGTAACTCTGGTATACAAATAAACTTGCCGTGGTATGGGAAAAACAAGCCAATGGAGCTACAAAGTGGGTGAGGCTTCCTGGTGCCGGAAGTAAACCCCCCCAATTCCAAAGGGATTTCAAAAGATAAGAATTATAAAATATCTGGGAATATCTGTGGGGGCTCGAGTGATCTGAGGACTAATGACCACAAGGCCTACATGTATATTCAAAGTATGTTTTTGTAACTTTTAAAACTGCAAAGGGTTTGAAAAGTTTGTGCTTTTTGGGATGAAAACTAGATATTTGTAATTGTCAGATCTCCCATGGGGATTTTGAATGGAGAATTTTACTTTTGGAAACATTGCAGCTCCATTCAGGGAAAAACAATCAGACTGTTGTAACTTATTATACATTATATGATTTATTATTGGTATTAAGCCCTTTTGTGGACTCATTCAGTGTTTCATCCCACCAACAGTGAAATGAAGGAACATTATGGATATTGTGGCATATTTATACCTTCATACGAGTCATCTCTAAATGGAAAAGCATTTGTAGTTAAAGCAACACACTTGTCTTACCAGTGGTATACAATGTTTCTCATAGTTTGAGATTGAAATTGGCGTCTCAGGAGATACGCTGGTAATGAAGTGTGTAGGGTGTGTCAAATGCCAGTGCAGTGTTAGTTCAGGTTTGTAGATCAGTGGAAGGAGGAGGAGAGGACCAAGTGCGTGAGTAAATTGTGAAATTCTTGCACGTTTCGGCACTTTCAGGTTGCTGTGGAAACCAAATTTGATGATCTATTTGGAACGACAGCAGCCGCCGATCCGTTTAACTTCAACAATCAGAACGGGATGCGCAAAGATGACAAGTAAGAAAGGCTTCGCAGTTTTTACATAGAGAAAAAAAAAAAGCATGGATTCAGTGCTTTTGGTTGAGAAATTGATTTTATTTGTTATATTGTTCTTTTCAGAGACCGGTTAATTGAGCAGCTGAGCAGGGAGATTCAAAGCCTTAAAGACGAGCTGGAATCTTTCAGGCTGGAGGTAAAAAACACATGTTCAATTACAAAATAGTTAAATGAGACCTGTTGCGCAAACAAGGACCGAGCATATAGAATCAAAGATAAATATTATATATAAAACTACTTTTTTCAGTTACAAGAAATATTTTAACCATTGAATCAACTCTCTAAAACTAAAATTGTATCAGAATAACAAAGAAATGCAAAAATATCTTCACTATTGCAGAGGAAATGTACAGAGTATACAGGTGAAACTGGGACAATTAGAATATCGCTCAAAAATGCATTAATTTCTGTGATTGAACCAAATTAAGATTAGATTAGATTAGATTCTTCACATGCAAAATGACATTGGCCAAGCCTTTGTTTGCTATTTTTTATTTGGGTTTTTCTTTCCCAGCCAGTTGTGAGCCATAATTATCAACATTATGAACACAATTTTTTTCATAGATCTCACTTTGTGTGTAAAGAGTCTGTCATACAGTATAATAGTTTCACACTGTAAATTGTAAGTAAATGGACTTTTGAACAGCAAAATAATAAGCCTATTGTCACCAAAATGTATTCACATCAGCTACAAGTTTAAAAAGAGTTGTCAAACTGGTTCCAGACAGGGCTCTTTAGTGGCAGATTTGTATTCCAACCAAGCAGGAGCACAACAGACTCCACCCCTTTCCTCAAGTCTCCAGATTAAGACTGGACTCACTTTGGGAAATGGGTGGAGTCTGTTGTGCTCTCGCAGCCACTCGCCCTTGGAGCACCGGTTTGACACCCCCTGGTCTAGAATGATGTATATAAATGTGCATGTGACTGAATTATTTATTTTCACGTGAACTTGTTTTGTGGTGGTCCTCAGAGCGGGCGGTTGTGCCAGGCGCTGCGGGGGCGTGTCAATGAGCTGGAGGCGGAGCTTGCGGAGCAGAGCCACCTGAGGCTGCAGGCCGTGGGGGAGGCAGAGTTCCTGAAGGCCGAGCTGGACGACTTACGGAGGGTCAGAGAGGACACGGAGAAGGAGCAGCGCAGCCTCACCGAGATCGAGAGTACGGACCCCACGTTTTACTGTGTAGCATTAGCATTAGCACGGCATAGGAACTGTATTTACATACACACAGCTACACTCTACCAGATATTTAAAACCAAACCCTACAGCTAGATTTTGAAGACCACAACAAAGTAAGCTGACCTCTCTGTTGTGTTCCTTGGACTTCATGATGCTGTTTAGTGACCAGTGGGGCGGGTCCCAGCTCAAATATTGCCAAAATGACGTGCGCTGACATGCTGCAATACCACCCCGGGCCGATGGGGGTGGATCCTGAATAAGATTTAGCCAATGCTAACATATAGCATATTCTTACGTCTCAAAAACGTCTTTACAGGATGGTCCAAAAGTTGGCTCTTGGCCCAAAGCTCCGTTCCACATGTGTGTCAATGCTGAGGGGGGTGATTTTTTTGGACAAGTCTAGTTTACTCGCTGTGAATTTTTGAAGTCACTCGTTTAAATGAATGGGGCTCGTGCAGCTGACACATGCGCAGATGCGTTTTTTCACATTTTCCAGCCCCAGCGGCCATTTTGAATCACTCCATGAAAGCCCAATTTTTGGCCCAATAGTTAGAACAGCGGAGATAGGCGTGACTACGTCCGTTAATATATACAGTCTATGTTAGTGACCATTACATTTGAAACGACGGTAGATTTCACACAGGAGGGCAACAGCCGGGTAATCCTGAGGGCAGGATGGAAGCATTCAGCGGTACAATAAGTCACTTTAAGTCACTCATGCACTAGGACTGAAAAACCTGCACTGCTATTGCCACTCTTTCTGCCACTTTTTATTGTACGTAATTTATCCTGCACAGACTGTATTTTTTACCTTCAGGATGTTGCACACTTCTGTCTTTTTGCACAATCTGAGTGACTCTATCCATGCCAAATGTGACATTGTGTGACAATGTGACACAATGTGACATGTACATTTCTCCAGTGTGTGATCAATAAATTCTATCTTATCTTAGCGGGGAATTTTCAAAAGCACATGTTAGCACTCAGAGAAATGGTGTCTGAATACTGTGCTTTAAAAAAAAAAAACTAATAATTTTACTTTCACTTTCGTTTTCTGTTACTTCATTGTGCTCTAAATCAAAATGCAGTTTTTTATGTTTGTGGACGTTAACACCACAAACTCAAGTTCAAGTACTTTAGCAAACTTTTTACCTTGGTCTCCTTACATTAATAAAGCCATCATGTGTTGGATTGGTTGCTGCCTCTATCGAAGCAGCCGATGCTTCAGGGGAAAAAAAGATTTGTATAAGGCTTAGAAGGTTTTTCTGATAAGACAAAAGTGTGAAGAAGCTAGTACTGCTTAAATACCACATCTTACAGCGGTAGACATCCACCTTCTTCAGAGGAGACACGTGATGGTGTGACCCGTCTCTTTATCAGCTGTTGTTATCGGATGCGGTCAGTCTGACAGATCGAGGCAGATCCGTCAGACTGACCACGCCTCCCGCCGCACTGTGATCCTGGAAGAAGTGAGTCCCGGGTGTGGGCCAAGGTGGTCAGTCTGTCTCAGCGTGGTGGAGGGAGGGGTAATTAAGTAGCACAAGCTTTCTCTTATCAGAAGGACCTTATAAGCCTTAAACATATAGAAGACATCATGAACGTTTTACATTCAACAGTTATAATTGTCCACTCTATCATTTCGTCCCAATGTTGTATTTTTGTTCTTTTTTTTTTTTAGAAAAGGCCCAGGCCAACGAGCAACGCTACACTAAACTAAAAGAGAAGTACACAGAGCTGGTCCAGAGTCATGCCGACCTGTTGAGAAAGGTGTGACAGCCGACCTCACACAAACACTGCCTGAGTCCTCGACCTGTTTGTCTTCACGTGCTCCTCTTGTGTGTGTGTGTGTGTGTGTGTGTGTGTGTGTGTGTGTGTGTGTGTGTGTGTGTGTGTGTGTGTGTGTGTGTGTGTGTGTGTGTGTGTGTGTGTGTGTGTGTGTGTGTGTGTGTGTGTGTGTGTGTGTGTGTGTGTGTGTGTGTGTGTGTGTGTGTGTGTGTGTGTGTGGTCAGAACGCAGAGGTGACCCGGCAGATGACTGTGGCCCGGGCGGCTCAGGACGAGGTGGAGGCCGTGAGGAGAGAGATGCAGGAGAAAGTGAAGAGCGCTCAGGAGGCGGCCGACAGACAGGTGCAGAGACACAGCAGCTCTTTATGTTCAGACTGGATCAGCAAACACACAAACAGCACATTAGAAGAAGTTTTTTGTTACCTCACTTTTTGGACTCATTTAACAAATATATTTTATAATCTGACCACAAAATGCTGTCTTTATGTTATTATTAGACAGGTTGTATTATTCATGCTTGTATTAGAACCTTGTGATTCACGATTTGATGCCTTGGGCGGATTGAGGGTGCAATGCAAGTGATGAAAAATAGGTTAAAATTGCACATATCTGGCAACATTTATCTTAATTTGAGCACATTTTGACTGCCTTCAAACAAGATTTGCCAATGGAAAATCTCAAAATGATCAGAATGTGCTCAGATTAAGATAAAAACACTCAATTCAAGCCGTTTTTTGCAGTGTGGTCATTTCTTTATCACTTTTTTTGGTCAGAAAGGGCTGATAAAAAGGCCAAAAATACATGCATGCAAAAACTAGCGATAAAACCAAACTCTTCGTGTGAAACTAGTTAGATGGATTTTATTACATACTTTGATTGTTGGAATTCATTGCTCAAAGAAAAAGGCAAGGACCCCTCAGGCAGTTTATCCAGGGCCAAACAGTCTGTGAAACTTCTTTCTACTTCAAAGTTCTGTAAAAAGCAAAACAAAAATATTGTTCATGGGAAAGCACTGATTCATTTTCTCAGATGTAGTTTCAAGAAAGTAAATAAATCCACTCTAAAATGACCTTTAGAACGCTCATCATTTTACCGGTGTACCGTATGTCCCACCTCCACATATCGACGCATACTATAAAAAATGGCATAAAACCACAATGGCACTTTTGACCTTTTCTGTTACTTGTTGCATCAGGGGAGGTCGCAGCAGGAGCAACTCCAGGAGCTGCAGAGGGAACTGTTGTCCAGTCGCACAGAGCTGGAGAGTCTAAAGTCCACCGTGACCTCATCGCAGCAGGTCCGCACACACTGTCACCACAATCTTACATTCATGTTTAAAGTGTATATTATTAAAGGAGACATAGTATGCAAAATCGACTTTTTTGAGCTTTTAACCAACATTGTCTGTCATCAAAAACAGACCTGGAGTTGTTTTTTTTAACCATCTACGCTAATATAAGAAACTTATAAGGCACAAACATGTAACTTTCTGTCTAAAAGCTCCTGTAATAGAATGACGTCATTATACCACTATGACATCATAAAAAGAGATTGAAAAAGAGGTTCTTAATTTCAGTGGGACTTTCTTGGTTAAATAAAGGTAAAAAAAACTAAATAAAAAAAAACACTCAGCTTAGTTTTCTGCCCTGTAAAACAAAAGTATTTACCATCCATTATTTTTATAATTTTACAGGTGTTCTTTGCAATATTTTTTTTACACTCAAACAATACAATTCTACCCCTCCGTCTGGTGGTAGCATAGAGAGTTACAGTCAGACATCATTTTTCTACCTTTCCTACTTATTTCACCATTTATTTATTCATATGTTATTCCACACACAAACATTGCAAAGTAAATGGTCTCATCATAATTTAAAATGGTCAAATATGATGCACAAAGCCTCTTCTTTTGTTCCGCTGAGTCAAAACATCAGCTAAAGTTTGTTTTTCTTCAGTATCCTCTCACTGCGTTTGTCATCGGCACACAGCGAGCCAAGTCCAATGTTTATAACCAGCGCAGACGTGAGTTTAGACAAGCTTCAAACAGCAGCAGTAGCAGAAGAACACAGGAGCTGACCGTGAGAAGCAGGCAGTGATAAATCATGTGATGCTTATTTATAGTGTTAGATTGGTCATCGAAAAAACGTAGATGAAGCGACAATAGAGGTATGTTTTTGTACTCTCCAGCTCTGCAATCACTGTGGCTGTCTGCGTCACCAGTGTCCTATGAACCCAGTCGACTCTCAAGGCTTTTCATGTGTCATGTATCTCAGGGCCTCCTCCTCCCATTCTATATTTCTGTAATCATCACTTATCAGCTACTGTTTGTCTCTCTCGCTGATTTTCCCATCTCTCCAAACCCACGCACTACGTATGTCCTTGTCCTTGATATGTTTTTTTTTTCTCATAAACTAATTCTTGCTTTTTTTTCTCCTCTCAATGCCCGCTTTGCTGGTTCTTGCTGTTTGCGCCTAGATTGTAAGTCTGCCACAAATATCAAAAGTTTTGTTGTGAATTAGAAAGTGCATTATGAAAACTGGACGATCACATACAAACTGGGTCAGCACTAGATCATATACGGAATCGGGACGGAAGCGGAAGTAAATATAACCAACTATGTATTCATGCCTAAACTTAACCAGCCTTTCCCAAAGAATAATCCCAACCCACCCTTAACCCTAACCTTCACCATCTTACTCAGACCACCTTAACCCTAACCTTAACCATCTTACTCAGACCCACCTTAACCCCCTTAAGGTGGGTCTCACTCAGACCCACCTTAACCCTAACCTTAACCATCTTACACAGACCACCTTAACCCTATCCTTAACCATCTTATTCAGACAACCTTAACCCTAACCATAGCCATCTTACTCAGACCACCTTAACCCTAACCATCTTACTCAGACCCACCTTAACCCTAACCTTAACCATCTTACTCAGACCCACCTTAACCCTAACCATAACCATCTTACTCAGACCACCTTAACCCAACCATAACCATCTTACTCAGACCACCTTAAACCTAACCTTAACCATCTTACTCAGACCACCTTAACCCTAACCTTAACCATCTTACTCAGACCACCTTAACCCTAACCTTAACCATCTTACTCAGACCCACCTTAACCCTAACTATAACCATCTTACTCAGACCCACCTTAACCCAACCATAACCATCTTACTCAGACCCACCTTAACCCTAACCATCTTACTCAGACCCACCTTAACCATAACCATCTTACTCAGACCCACCTTAACCCTAACCTTCACCATCTTACTCAGACCCACCTTAACCCTAACCTTCACCATCTTACTCAGACCCACCTTAACCCTAACCATCTTACTCAGACCCACCTTAACCCTAACCATCTTACTCAGACCCACCTTAACCATAGCCATCTTACTCAGACCCACCTTAACCATAACCATCTTACTCAGACCCACCTTAACCATAGCCATCTTACTCAGACCCACCTTAACCATAACCATCTTACTCAGACCCACCTTAACCCTAACCATCACCATCTTACTCAGACCACCTTAACCCTAACCATAACCATCTTACTCAGACCACCTTAACCCTAACCTTCACCATCTTACTCAGACCACCTTAACCCTAACCTTAACCATCTCACTCAGACCCACCTTAACCCTAACCATAACCATCTTACTCAGACCACCTTAACCCTAACCTTAACCATCTTACTCAGACCCACCTTAACCCTATCCTTAACCATCTTACTCAGACCACCTTAACCCTAACCTTAACCATCTTACTCAGACCACCTTAACCCTAACCTTAACCATCTTACTCAGACCACCTTAACCCTAACCATAACCATCTTACTCAGACCCACCTTAACCCTAAGCTTAACCATCTCACTCAGACTCACTTTAACCCTAACCATAACCATCTTACTCAGACCACCTTAACCCTAACCTTAAAGTAGTACTAGAATTTAATATGCTGCTATCCAGAATATATAACTACAATATGTGTTTATAATATTTCGGGTGTTCATTTTGATATGTTCAAATGAATTATGTTAAAAAAACAGCTTTGAACCCTAACCCTAACCCTAGGATTAGGGTTAGGGTTAACCCTAACCCTAGGGTTAACCCCTAGGGTTAACCCTAACTAACCCTAACCCTAACCCTAACATGTCAAAATGAACACCCGAAATATTATAAACACATATTGTAGTTATATATTCTGGATAGCAGCATATTAAATTCTAGTACTACTTTAACCATCTTAGTCAGACCACCTTAACCCTAACCTTAACCATCTTACTCAGACACCTAAAACTTAACCAGTCACCACTTAAAGGTCCTATATCACGCTTTTCTTCATGTTTCACACTCAATCCTATACACATGTATGATATTAATGTGTATGATACACCACACAACAATCAAAGCTTGTGAGATTAGAGCCATCTCTTGTATAGAGGTGACGTCACCTCGACTCAAACGAGCTGATCCAGAAGAGTCTGCTCCTCTGCCTGTGAGCCCGCCTCCCACCGCCCGCACGGTGACGTAGCATCACGCTTTTGTCGTTTATCACCTGTACTTAGTAATTTCATACATAAGAATAAACGTTTTCCAACAATGACAATCCGTCACATCGAGCCCTATGTCCTCGATGCACAATCAGACCCTAGTTATTTAGTTTACAGAAGTATACAGCGAGTTAGCGTCACTACTTACAGATCGAGGGGGTCCGAGTTACGTCTTTTACCGTGGGAATAACGTGTTTCCAGATCAGCCTTTGAGTAAGTCCAGTTCCATTGTCCCTGTAGTTCTGGAACAGTCTCAGTGAAGTGTCGCAGATGAACCGGTATTATAATAGATCCATGAGATGAACAGATGAAAAAAGTCGAGCCGCTTTCTTCCTCTTAGGGCCAAATAGTGTGTCACATATTTACACCCATAACACACTTCATTCAAGTTGACGTGATCTTAACACTTTTAGTTTCTGACAAAAGCATAAAAACAGCAGCTCTATGTGGTGTCCGCGAGACCAGACCACAGACGCTGGACTCGGGAGCCGGGCCTGTGCGCTCTGATTCGCTGTTTTGATCCGTCAATCACCTCCCGCCAGCTTTTAATTTATTTTTATTTTTATTATTTTTGACAAAAAACAGCATACTAATTGTGTATTGTTTACCCCGTTTTGACAAAAGTATTTAACAACTATTTTAAATACAAAGCAAACGAGCTTATGCGCGTCATCAGTGTGGTTTTCGTCACTGAAGTGGACCCGAGCGTTTCTGTGCCTCAAGCTGGGGAAGGAGACAGATTGCTCTCTTACAAAAGATTGACAGAATCAATGAATAAACTACTGTGGGCTTGTGTATGAAGGCCAAATAGCATTGTAATCATGTTTAAAGCAGAGAAAAGTCAAAAACCGTGATATGGGCCCTTTAAGGACTTATTCATCTAAAACTAATTCAAAAGTACTTCCAGTTTCGTCCCGATTCCGTTTATGATCTAGTGCCGATCATACAAACGGGACACTCGCACACACACATGTGAGATGTTATTCTTCTCAAAGTACGCATTCTGTCATAACAAATTTATATCAACAAATATGAAATAGCTGGGATACGTATATCTGTGTCTGTTGTGTTGATTTGTGTATACTGTAAATGTATGGTGCAGGGTTTTAATCAGTCAAAATGACACAAAAGCTTATAAAAGTTCACATTTTCCTTGGATTATTTAAACTTTTATAAGCCGCTCAACACAGAGTGGACAATTTGCAACAAAGTCGTCAACCAGAACAAAAGCCATACAATGTCATATGGTAGAATACAAAACGATACCACCAAACACTCTCCGACCCTACACCTCTATCCCTCAAGTCGCTCTCTTCCCTCACATGCTTCTTCAGCTCTTTACAGATTTTATTCAGTCAGGTTTGAACAAGCTTTTCACTCCAAGTTCTCACAAATGCGTCCTGCGAAAAGCTTTTTTGGGGCCCCCTAGTGGACATCAACGTGTAATGTCAGTGCAGCCCCACTAAGCGTCTGGGCTAATATGGCATGTTGTACATCATTTGAAAGCTAATTTAATCAAGAACACAACCACACAACTTTTTAGTCCATAAGGATTTAACCCTGAACATATTAATCAAAAAATAAACATAATTCAGGGAAGCAGTGTGAACAACGACTCTTTGGCCCAGTTTACTTTCAATCCCAGCAGCTGAACTCAATTTGTTCATAGAAAATATATATCCATACTCCTATTCTTAAATATACTGTATATCCAATTACCTATTCAATGAAATTAATTATTTGGTCAAAAGTATCTTCATGATAACAAAAAGTCACAGATGCAAATGATGAGCTAAAAACAAACTTACCACAAACGCTTTATTCTTGGTTTCCCTAGTTTTGTTTTTGTGTTTTACGAGACCAAACATTTACTTTCTCTGTTATTGTTTGATGTCTCAGTTTGAAAATAATCAATCCAGAAGAAAAATTTAAAATAGCTTGAGGCGTTTTAATGGGTTGATTCTATATCTGTGTGTGCGTGGATCCGTTAATGTTAATATCATTTGCAAACCCACAAACATATGATAAATATATACCCCTGGGTCCAGCCTCACCCAGACTCGACGCCAAACGGCCCCAAGAAAAACAAATTTGTGACCCCTGTTTATACATCTATTCATCATTTTCAACAAAGAGCTCCTCGCACCGAAATAAACATTGATTTAAAAGTATTTCCTCTTATTCTGTAAATATGGAGAGCATTTCTATCGTGGAATAAGTTTTATACAATACAAGCAGTTCTAAAGTTGGTCCTGGTGTTTAAGTTACCGTGTGTTAATTCAATGAACCGTGTATTAGAAAATGTATAAAATAATCCAAGTCTATAAACACCGAACAAGTATCTCGTCGCATTGAATCTTTAACCCGTCCATACTGTCCCGTCGTAATTATTCCTCATATTTTGGTTTGTCTCTCAGTCCAGCGAGGCTCTCAGCACCCAGCTGGCGGTCCTGGAGTCCGAGAAAGCGGATCTTGTGCAGTCTCTGTCCCAAGTGGAGGTGGAGCTCAGTGTTCGAGGGGAGGAGCTACAGCAGGCCCAAACCTCGCTGTCCACTGAACGGGAAAGTGGAGTAAAGGCAGCCGAGGCTTTGCAGAATCAACTCAACGAAAAGGTGACGCCTGTTACAAATAATGCATTCGTATCAGTTAAAGGTATATAGGAGGATTTTCTACTTCCGGGTGGATCATCAAGACTATTGGTTCGCCCAATTGTGAATCGTTCTGGTGATACGTGCTCCTCAAATAAGACCAGAGAGTTTTGTTCATAATGTGGAGAGGGCGGTTCTTTCCTAAAATTTTGGAATCCTCCTATATCCCTTTAAAGAAATCATATTATTCTAGATTTACTAGATTTTGCTTTTAAGACGTTTTATTATTCCTCATTAAAAACACACGTGAAATTGTTTTTAGATCCCTCCACCCTAATATCAGAGTTGCAAACATGTAACTCCACTCCTTCGGTCTAACATTTCCTGTGACATCACTCTCAGAGCAGATTTGAGCTTTTTAAAACAAAAGTAATGCAGATAAATTAGTATGTGTTAATTTCTCAAGTGAAATGAGACTCTCTACAATTGCATCGCTGTGTTTGCAGACAATCATTTGGAAATTTGGAAGAAAAATTAAAACAGAATGTTGTTTTACCTCCCTCTGGTGGTACCATAAGGATAGTGCAGGCCGGTAGCATTACTCACCATTCATACTTGTTTCACCGTATCATTTCTCTGTAAGATAATTACTGAAATAATTCACATTCTGAAACAAGCAAAAATGTCTCGTTAATGGATAAAAATAATGCACAATATTTAAAAGTGAATTAAATTAACACGTTTTTAAAAAGATAAGATAGATTTTATTGATCTCACACTGGAGAAAAGTACACGTCACATTTGGCATGGATAGAATCACTCTGTCTATGTGCAAGAGAGAAGTTGGGGCGGCAGTAGCTCAGTTGGTAGAGCGTTGGCCTTTGAGCCAGAAGGTTGTGGGTTCAAGCCCCGCTCAAGACTTTCACCATCGACTCCCTTAGGCAAGACACTTCACCCCCATTGCCTAGAATGAGTCTGGTGTGTGTATGAATGGTTGGTGGTGGTGGGAGGGGCCGATGGCGCATACTGGTTGTCTCGCTTCTGTCAGTGTGCCCCAGGGCAGCTGTGGCTACAGTAGTGGTTTATCACCACCGTGTATGGAGTGAATGAATAATGACACATGTGAAGCGTCTTTGAGTGTCCAAAAAAAAAAAAGCGCTATATAAAAACCGATGCATTATTATTAAGTGTGCAAAAGGCAGAAGTGTGCAAACATGTTAAAGGTTAATGTTGCGTTCCTGAGATCTAATATGTGTGTGTGTGGGTGATGTTAAAGGAGAGCAGAGAGCAGACCCTGGAGAGCCAGCTGGTGGCCACTCGCTGGAGCGGTCTGCAGGCGGCTGTGGAGGAGGCCGAGCGGATCATCCACGACTCCCTGGCCCAGATCGAAGACCCGGCTCACATCAGCTGCACCAGTTCCGCAGGTCACTTACCTCACGTACAGCATGTTTTAGTTTTAGGGCTGTTACTAATCTGTCTTTACTGTGTTTTTACAGACTACCTTGCTTCCAGGTGTCAGGCCACGTTAAATTGTATAGACCGGCTTCCTCCTGCGCTGGAGACCTTTATGGCAGACAACACGGGTAATGTTTGTTTACAGCGTTGGAGCCCGAACGAAGAGTAGACAATAAGTTGCGTTCATGTTAGAGAAGTCTTTTTATGTAGGAGGACAGGCGTAAATACAACTCAATGTCAGTTTTTGTCACTTGTAGAAAAGTCAGTTTGACAGAATGTAGAAAAAGGAATTGATATATTAAATCCAAGGTAATGTCAAAACACAAAGACACCAGACAAACATGGTAGAGTTAATGGACGGACAAGTGGGGAAAAGCACAGGGTATGAATACACACAGGGACACACAGGGACACGCAGGACAGGAAGAAAACTCAAACTCCATTTCAACAAATAGCATCATAAAATCAAGTCAAAATGGTTATTGACAGTTTTGTGATGAATAGTGAAAAATAAAAGTTTCACCCGATCATTCTTTTTAGTAATTACATTCACAAATCCACCATATTGTTCTTGTCTGAAAGCTCTTTTGTTTGGCCAACATCATGCGTATGTTTTAGAATATCGTCACCACTCTCAGACACCTTCATAGAAAAGGTTATGTACTGATAAAGAGGATGTGGAACTTTGTGACCCAGGGATTACATAAAAAAACAATACCAGAAAATGGACTTTTGACAAACATCCGTGAGTTTTTTCCCATGAGCGCACTTTTATGGAGATATAAATAACTAAACTATGCCTAAATTGAGCTAAAAACAGCTTTGAGTTGAAATGACAAGAGAAAACAAGCATGTTAGAATATCGTTCATAAGTCCATTCACTTCTGTATTTCAACTTACAATGTGGAACTAAGACTCATTACACAGACAGAGAAACTTATCGATCCTTTAAAGTAGCAATATGTAAGATTTTCATCTCAAGTCATCATTAAAGGGCCCTAATCTGTCAAAAAGAATTAATAAAACATGCTCTTTTCCAATACTTTGTTAACTGATAACAGAAGTTCAGAGATATTTGGATTTCAAAATTAGTTTTCCGGCCCCTTAAATCTTGTTATTGTTTTCATTTCGATGTCCCGCCCTCCACCGTTTCACCAATCAGAAAGTCCGTGATCCGAGTTGCCAGAACTCACCGCGTCGAGCTACTCTCACTGGTAAAGTACCATGTGGCGCAGAACAATTTTTTTTTATGGTTCTCAAATCATTAACGACAAAACAAGGAATAAAACCAGGATTTTTATCTTTGTGAAAAAGGTGTTGGTTATAGATTTGTTGTTGACAAAAATCTTGTCTATTCAGCTGTTACGGTTCCAGATTTTTACATATTGCTCCTTTTAAATGTTATAATGTTAGTAATTGGATCGCAGCTTGTAAATTCCCCAAACCCCTCAGAAAATAAGAAAACTTTGAAAATGGGCATAATTAAGCCATATTCATAAAAAATATAACAAATGCTCATATAATGTAATAATTCTAAATCGTATTGGTTTCACATTTCAAGTAGATTGACTTTTTCCTTTCACTAAATGTATTTTCTCTGTTTGGTTTGCAGCTGTGTCAGAACTGGTCCGTGCACTGACTCAGTGTGGCCACCTGGTGGGAGACACCATCGTGCAGGGCAGCGCCACCTCCCACATGGTTCCTGTAGAAAAGGCAGATGGTGAGGCTGTGTTTATATGGAATGTTGCTACCACCATTCACATTACCTGGAAATACATAAACATAACCGTTTCTTGCTAATGTCTTCTCTGTGACACACATCAGGTCGAAACAAGTGGAAGAGTCATTCATCTCTAGCAGCGAGTCTCGACATGGCTTTAGTTTGATGAGCTGCGAGTGACAGTCTTAAAAAGCTGTAAAATCATTAGTTTAGATCCAGAAACTGTCCAAGGATCATATTGGCCACATAATTAGTTGGATACAAAACGATCAGCACCAGAAATCAGTCTATCACTTTAAATACAGTTTTGGCATAAAATTAGGGTCTTTTAGAGACTTGAATGCATTTTAGAATACTACATTAAAAAGACTTGAAAACATTCAGTAATCTGTCAAAAGGCATTAATAAAACATGCTCTTTTCAAATACTTCTTTAACTGATAACATTAGTTCAGCCGAGATATTAGAATTTCAAAATTTGATTTACATCCCCTGAAGGTTGTTATTGTTTTCATTTCGATGTCCCGCCCTCCACCATTTTACAGAGACCTAAATACATTTGAGAATGTTACATGAAAAAGATAAGGAAAACGTGCAGTAACTTCTCTGCAGCTGCCACTTCATACTACAACACAGAGCACAAGCAACAATCCAAATGTGTTTTTGTGTGTCTCATACCCTGATATATATTACTGCATGGACTGTACAGAATCATAATTGTATGTTGATTCATTGTATTGTCATGTGTGTATTACTGCGTTTTGGAAGGGGATTGGGATAAGCGCCTGCTTCATCTAACCCCTTTTCAAACCCCTTTTTTATTCGTGTGAAGATATGGGATATTGTGTTCTGCTGTTTTTAAACAAATCAAACTTACTAATAAACCAGTGTTGTTTCATTGTGTGTGTGTGTGTGTGTGTGTGTGTGTGGCAGCCCTGTCAGACAGCGTGAAGACCTGCGGCGCACAGGCCTTGACTCTCCTGGGGGCCCTGAAGCAGCGTGACGCCATGTCCTCGGCCGACTCCAGCAAACTGAAGGCCACTCTGCTGCTCATCCTGGACACGGCCGAGGTCAGCACTCGCTCTCACTTCACACGTTTACTGCACAAACACAGCTCCTAATTAAACCAAAGACCGTCATTAAACGCTGTCATTGAAGGCCCCCTGCGCCCGCGCTGCTCCAGACTGTTTACTTTGATGTTTTTTGTTTTCAGAAACTGCGGCCTCGAGGTCTGGAGCTGAAGCAGGGGGAGCTGGGGGATCTGGTGGAGCAGGAAATGGCTGCCACTTCTTCCGCGGTGGAGTTGGCCGCAGCCAGGATAGAGGTGCGTCTGTCTTTGGTTACACACATCCACACGGCTGGTTACGACTGCACACTGTGTTCTTTACTCCAGTACAAAATCATCTTCTGTTTACGTAATATTACAATCATTACAGTACTAACTATGTGTGTTACATCTGACTCGTTACTTTTTGAACCTGGTTTCATTTAAATACATTTGGTGCTATTTTTCTGTTAACAAAAATAGATACAAATACATAAGATCCAAAAGCAGCTGAATTTTAACTAAAAAACTGGAAACCCAAATGAGACTCTCCTTCTGCTCTCTGATTGAATAATCTACTTAATAATCGTAAACATAATGAATATGGACATCATGTCAATTTTATTTTTTATTGTTCTCAAAAGTGAACTGGTGCTCTGTGAATTAGGTGCAGCCCTGACTGCCACCCCCGACCCAGAAATGGATTAATGAAAGAAAATGGATGGATGTTCACAAAAGGCCAAATATGATTCATGTCAATATTTTACAGGATATAAGATGTAATTTTAGGGTCCTTAATATACAATTAATCAAGTTCAATCAATCACTTCAATCAAGAAGTCCCAATCAAGTTACTTCTTGATTGGGCGATTATTTAAATTGAATTTGACCAAAAACAAAGCAAAAGCGATGCTACCCGGTAATACTTTCACTGTCATAGAGACTAGATTGTTTGATTAGAAATGAAAAACAATGTCGTGTCATTCTGTAGTAATTCTAACGCTGTCTGAGCCATAAAACTTTGTATTTGTGTGTTTTGTTTTGATGGATAGATCATTACTTCAATGTCTTCTTTGTCTGTGTGAATTCCAACAGGACATGCTCAACAAGTCTCGGGCAGTGGATACAGGAATCAAGATGGAGGTCAATGAGCGGTAAGGACTTTTTAAACATGTCTGTTTGTTTACTCATCGTGCAGTGAGGGTGAGTGAGGGTGGGTGAGGGTGAGTGAGGGTGGGTGAGGGTGAGGGTGAGGGTGAGTGAGGGAGATTCAAGCAGCAACCACATCTTTGAGAAAACCGTCTGGAGGCCTTGTAGTGGTGAGACAGCATTTCATAATGAGACTGAACCAGACTTGATACAGACACAACCTCAAAGTGTTGACACTGAGATGGTACGAAGAAGAGCAAGTGCGAAGGCTATGATTACATGTGTTTTGTATGCAGCCCTAAACACAAGCCGGGTTTGTTGTGGTTTTCATCTTTCACACTAGGGGTTGGCTTTCCTGTTCATTTCCTCGCAATGCTTGACAAAAACATGTCTTGTTTAGCAAATAACATATGAGAATGACATAAAAATAATCACCCCACATTTTAATTATCCAAGTTAGAACACTACACCCCAGTTTAAAAGCGTTCATGATTAAATATCTACGTCTTGTGTCGGCCCCTGCAGGATTCTTGCATCGTGCACAGAACTGATGCAAGCTATCAAGGAGCTTGTTCTTTCTTCCAAAGATCTGCAAAGGGACATTGTAGAGAGTGGCCGGGTGAGTCAAAGTCTGGGTGTACTTTTGTTTTCTTGTTAAATATAAAAAAACATTAGCACATTTACCTATGCTGCCTGTCTTCCATTTCCTTCCCAGCTCACTGTACGCATACATATTTTACTTTACTATATTATGACATAAACTTACAATAATGTCTCACTAGTTTAAACAATAAATGACTATCAAGTGGTGAATAGAGGAAGTGAAATAACAGAGGCAAGATTGCAATAACATTGGAGGTAGTGACATCATCGAGAGGAGGCTGATTGATTGTTCTGGTCACTGCTGTTGCAAGGTCACAAACCTCGTCATAAGCACGACACTGAAAACATGTTTATCAATGACAATTTGTAGCATCAACCCGTGACGTAAAAGCTCTAAAAAGCATGAAACAGCACCATGCCACACTGCTGACCGATTGTGATGCTTGTTAAAATGTTGTCCTGCGTGTGTGGGTGTTCTGAAAAAACAATTGATCTTGCGTTCATTCACCAACAGGGGGCAGCATCCATGAAGGAGTTTTATGCAAAGAACTCTCGCTGGACTGAAGGCCTGATCTCGGCCTCCAAAGCGGTGGGATGGGGGGCTACAGTCATGGTGTAAGTCTCATTATAGAACCAAGCAATCTATGTATAAATGATAGCACTAATGTTCTTCTCCCTTATATTTTAACAACAATATGAGTTGTTGTGATCTGATTTGTTTGCAACATTTTACTTTTACAACATAGTTTTTATCTTTAGAGAGACAGATCGAGAAAATGAATTGAGATTGCAGTAATAGTAAAGAGGCTATGGGTAATGGGGGAAGTCAGAATCGATATTAAGTTGTTATTAATAGGTTGTAAATGTACATTAAAGCTGGGGTTTAAACGTTATTTTTTCATTACTAACAATAATAATTGTCTGCCCCAACACACTCTTGTAAAAGTCAAAAGTTGAAACCAAATCAGACCCCAACCTGCTGTCTTCATCGCATAAGAAAACATGTTATCTTCTGCATACTTGTCTAAGGAGCCCTGTGGCTGAGTGAGGGTGGTCCTGTCTTTTTCACTTTTCTGTTAAAAAAAAAAAGAAGCTGATCCAAAGATTTGACAGAAGGTAAAAAAACATGTCAAAACTAGTGAAAGAACCACACAGTTTTCATAGCAAGGAACTAGTTAGATGGATTTTAACACATACTTACATCTTGTTGCTTTAGCTTAATTAGAATTGACAAGTTAGTCCTCTTACTCCTTTGTGAATGATTAATGTTGTGTATTTTTATGATGACAGAGATGCTGCTGATCTGGTGGTGCAGGGCAAAGGGAAGTTTGAAGAGCTGATGGTGTGTTCACATGAGATCGCCGCCAGCACAGCACAACTGGTGGCGGCTTCCAAGGTAAGGCAATACGGCGCTAATACACGGGTTTTATTTTTGTTTAGCCCTAAATCCCAGCAGTAGTAAGTTCTCAAAGATCAGAGAATCAGCTAGAACTCAGGAAATGCTATAATAACAAACACAGAGGAGCGATTGGTCGATAGGGGACGGATGACCAATGTCCATATCTGTTATTAAGTATACCATAATTGTTCTTATCTGTAGGTAAAGGCAGACAAAGACAGCCCCAAACTGCAGCGTCTAAAGCATGCGTCCCGGGGGGTCACCCAGGCCACCGCGGGTGTAGTGGCTTCTACCAAGTCGGGCAAGTCTCAGATCGAGGAGAAAGGTGTGTGTGGTGTTCAAAAATACATATTGGTATACTTAGAAACTAATAAACAAATATGAACGCCGGTGTCTGCGCTCTTTCTTTAGACACTATGGACTTTTCCAGCATGACTTTAACCCAGATCAAGCGACAAGAGATGGATTCACAGGTGAGCAGAGCACATTTTACGTGTTTTTTATTTATTGAACATTCTTTATAATAAAACCAGACATACAGTAGAATCCAGACAATAGACAACATGTTTTTGACTTTTTAACCACACTACAACATTGTTCCCTTGTCAAAAAAGAGCTGGAAAACACTAATATCAGGAACTAATGGCACAAACAAACATGTAACTCCGCCCCTTCTGGCTAAAAGCCCCCGTCATATTTGGACTGTGGCACAACTGTCATTGTACCACTGTGACATCACACAAGTGTTTCCTATGAACTAGCATGTCGTCCCTGCATGTAACGTCTGGGTCTGGTCCCTGTGTTTGAGATTGCAATCGCTTGAATTTCGACCGACCAATCAGAGAGCGCGGAAGGCGGGTGTTGTAGTTAGTTGTAGGTGACGTCAAGAGTTTGCGTCGAACAGGAAGGTTGTAGTTTGGCAATGGCAAAAAATGCGATAGTAAAGTAATCCGGTCTGGTTCTATCAAGAAATTGAAGCCGGAGCAAGAGGAATGTCTAGCAAATGTAATCGCTCATTAGCGGCAAAGGAGATGGCTAAGCTAAATGCTAACGAATCACTCTGTAAACTTACGGTAAACTCAGATCCAATTGTTTCAATCTGCGTAAGTAGTTGACCCCTCCCACCTGTTAACAGAGCTCAATGGAGCACGTCCAGACCGTAGTACGATATGTCATTTGTACTATGGTGTGGTACGACCAGGCTACCCATGAACTGGTTTTGGTAGTTTTTCAGGTAAAATAATGTCCTCTATACAGTTTTATGGTGGTTTTTGCAGGCGGTAATTTTAACATTTTGAAAAATGAATCTCCCTCTGATGGTAGTGTAGGGAGTTACAGGTGCATAGCATTTCTTTCCCATCGTACTTGTTTCACCATATAGATGTATTACATGTTCTAAAACAAGAAATTACAAACTATGATTACAAATTTAATTAATTAAAATAGTGTCATTTTAGTTTTAATCTGCCCAAAATAATATAGTATTTCTTCTTTAAGTTCAAGTTAAAATATCTGGACCCATTTTACAGTCAGAAAAACCATGTAACACTAATATAAAAGCTGGCAACAGTTACAGGAAGTGAATTTCCAGCTTCTGCCCTTTGACTCAATGTGAACCAGCGGGACATACTTTAGCTTTTGGTTACATTTAGACAGTCTTTTTATTGGCAAATTATTCCGACCAATGTTTCTGTCTGAAACCATCAAACCTGTGCGTTTCATATGTAATTCAGCCATTTGACATGGACTGAGCAAAGTGTTTTTCTTTCTTGGAATTAATGAAAAAGCTTCAAATCCAGCGTGTAAGTGGTGTAGTGTGTCTGCAGCGGCCTCTGTTCCCCCGACAGTAAAAGAAAAACAGAAAGGTCTGGACCCACTCACACACACGTCTCATTGTTGTGAAAGAGAGATGGTCTATTTAAAGCCTTAGCAGAGTGTTTTCAGTGCGCCAACTCAAACCTGTGTCAATAACGACTTCTTAAAAGAGCTCCACCACTTCAGCAGAGAAACCTGTTTTTTCTACATGAAAGCTGTTGAATGTTTTTAGGGAGGATATAAATAGCTGTTGTGTTTCTCCTCAGGTGCTGGTCTTGGAGTTGGAAACACGTCTGCAGAAGGAGAGAGAGCGTCTGGGCGAGCTGAGGAAGAAGCATTACGAGCTGGCCGGGGTCGCAGAGGGCTGGGGCGAGGAGGAGGAGGGTGAGGAAGACCGTGGCCTTTTGCAGAAATCACAGCGTTGAGCCTTAAAAAAAAAAACCTGCTTCCCCATGACGTGTGCAAGACTTCTCCCATTCACTAAATCGGAGTCTGTTTTAAATTTACGAAGCTGGGAAGGGATGACCGTATTTGGAGAAAAGGGGCCATGGCTGCGGAGAGCTAAGGAAACAGCATGCTAGCAGTGGTTAGCTCCTAATGCCACTGAGGTTGAAACACCAAATGGTTCATGAGGCAATTGTGGAGCACGCTGGTTTGCCACAAGCACTCACTAAAGCGGCGGGCTCTTTGTTCAAGCCCGCTACATTTTAAGTAACTTTGATCCGGCAGTAGAGCCGCTATAATGTTTTCACATTTCTGAGGCAACAGGGAATGGAACACTGCAAATAAGTAACAATAAATAAGTCAAAAATAGATTAAATTGGGCAAAATGTAACTTAATTTCGACATTTTGACAAGAGTTGCCACGGAGACAAGCAAAAATGTCTTGGTCTAAAAGAGGCAGGAAAATTGAAGAAAAATCTCCCTGGGAATGATAAAGAAATGAAACTACACTTGAAAAAGACGAGCCTATTTGTCCCAATGGTGAATTTTGTTTTAAGATTTCAAAATATATTCAATTCTAGATCAAAACTACTTGACTTGAGTATTCTTGACCTGTTTGTAGTGACTATAAGACCTCAAGGCATTTTATATCTGCCATTTATACCACTCTAATTCTTCTCCCTAATTGTGTATAACAACTATAACAAGTAACTACTACAGAACTAACAAGCTAAACATGCAATTCTGGAAGTCATTGGTATCAGTGCGTCTGATTTAACAACTACTCTAAAGTGCACTTAAAGCTGGGTTACCTAAATTCATTTGATTCATAAATAACACATGTGTCTTCTCCCAATAGAAAGTGTGTCAAAGAAAAGGCCCAACACACTGTTTATCTCATAAGAAAACATGTTGTATATATTTGCATACTTGTAAGAAAGAGCCCTGTGAGTCACTATTTGACGCTTTGGGCTGAGAGCTGATTGGCTGAGTGAAGGCGGGTAGGGTTGGGTTAGGTCCCTTTAATTTTTCTGTCTGAGAAAGCTAATCTAAAGTTGTGACAGGCTAAAAATACATGCATGTTAAAGGAGAAGTATGCAAAAAATCTGGCCAAAAGTGGTACTGCACTCTCCCTGACTCAGGTTGCCAGATATGCAGACGAATCCAGCTGGGACCATAATATCTGAATTAAGAGTTTTGTCGACAACAAATCTATAACTGACACCTTTTTCACAAAGATAGAAATCCTCGTTTTATTCCTTGTTTTTTTGTTAATGATTTGAGAATTATAACGAGACCGTTTTTAGTTCTGCGCCACATGGTACTTTACCAGTGAGATTAGCTCGACGCGGTGAGTTCTGGCAACCTGGATCAGAGACTTTCTGATTGGTAAAACGGTGGAGGGCAGGACACCGAAATGAAAACAATAACAAGATTTAGGGGCTGTAAAACTCATTTATAAATCCAAATATCTCTGAACTACTGTTATCAGTTAAAGAATTATTGGAAAAGAGCATGTTTTATTAATGCCTTTTGACAGATCAGGGCCCTTTAATGATGACTTGACATGAAAATCTTACATATTGCTTCTTTAAACTAGTGATAGAAGAAACTGTTTTTATGGCGAAGAACTATGGATTTTATTGTGGCTTAACAGTTAGGTACCCCAGCTTTAATTTGTTCACGGTCACTAATCGGCTCAAACAAGCTTTCTCTTCTCTCTCTCTCTCTCTCGCCTCTCCTCTGTAAACCCCACATGTATGTTAAGAATGTCGCTCACCCCGACCCTTTTAAAACGTATTTGTTTGGTCTCATCCACAGGCACCGGCTGAGACCTCCCTCCGATGACCCTCGACTCCGCTCAGAAGAGACTGCCTGCTTTCTCTCATTTACACTTTTCCTTTTTTCTATGTTTGTTTGCCATCCAAGCCGACTGGAAAGGTGCTTCTTCTTCTTCTTCTTCTCCTTCCACCGCTCTGCTCGCCCACCTGCACCTCAGTCCGGACACTTCCAGCTAAAACAAACTGTCAAGTCTGGACCCTGTTTTTTTTTTTTGTTAAACATAGACTTGGACTGAATTTCACAGTCGTCCTGTGTGTGTACATTTCATTATAGAAGGCTAGAAGCACAAACTTTTAACCTCCCAGACTGAACTGCACAGGGAACTGCCAAATTCCCCACAAGAATCATGTCTGCGTAGAGTAGACTGCACACCGGGGCGACTAAAACAAGCTGGATCAGAGGAGCTCAAATCGTCTTCGCCAAAATCCTCACCGCCGGCTCTAGTTTCTTCCTGCAGTATATACTTTAGTCACTGTGAGTCCATACGGCTTCTCAACAAAAATGCTTCACTGGACTTCCTGCCTTTTTTTCCCCCTCCCGCGTGACTGTTAAAATCAATCATTGTTTCGTTTTCAATCAGCAGCGATGACGGGTTCTGATGTCTCAGAACCCGTAAAGCACACACACTAAATACATATATATATATTTTTTTCTCCTTTTTCCGTTCGGGTTTCTTTCTCCTCTCGAGCTCCGACTGCCAGCTACCTCACTCCACAGGGTCCGAGGTAGAAGTGCCACATTACAACAACAAAAAGAAGGGTGTCGCCTGAAATACTTTAAGCACATTTCAATGATTTCATTTCAAATTGTTTATGAGGGAAGGGACGTTATGTGTGTGTGTGTGTGTGTGTGTGTGTGTACATGTGTGTGTGTGTGTGTGTGTGTGTGTGTTTTAACAATGCCAGGAAGTGTGCAGTGGACTTGATTCGCCTCCTCGCTGCTTCAAGACCTTTTCAATGTTCAATAAAGTCAAAGTCCCCTTGTGTATTTTTAGCCACATTTCCTTATTAGCTGAGTCAGTCGGTGAAGCAGCAATGACGCAAATCCAAGAAGCTGTTTTGTGGCCAGTCGTTCAGTCGTTCAAAGATCCTTCTAATGGTGTGGTCTGAAATCGAGGGAAGAAAAAATGCTCGGCTTTTTCCCAGAGTTGCGGTAACTGTGAGGCCGGAGGTGTGAACAAATATATCTTAAAATGTTATAATAGATATAGTTTTATCAGGTATTTTACGTCACACACAATGATACAGCTCATTATATATCTAATTTATCATGTTCGAACCGTTTTTTAATAGACCATAAGTTTGTGCTCATTTCACTTTTGTTTGCCGATATTTGCCGATTCTCACCATTTGTATTTTTTTATGAATAGGGATTGAAATGATTTATTTGTCCCATAACACGGACTCTCTGTAGTTGTTTTTGACTCATTCGGTGTTGCATAGTTTTTGTGTTGAATTCACCAGAAATCATGCGACCTGCTAATTTACCTGTGTTTTTTTTATATTTGTGGAAATTACATGAAGCAGCTTTGTGTCCCATCTGCCACATTTACAAACGTTGGTAAAATGTTTTATTAAATCTCAAATTAAAGGGTCTAAACCGGTGTTTCCCCAACCTTGGCTGCGTGGGCTCCCTAGTGGTACCTGAGGGTATTACAGAGCGGGATTAAAATTATTTTCTAAACTTGCACTTGATAGTAAGAGGTGAATATGGACTGGCATGTTATACGTCTGGTATTCAACTCGGAAGTGGCTGCAGGTTTTCATTCCAACAAAGCAGGACATTTCCTCAAATCTCTAGGTGAAGACTGGACGCACTGAGGAAATGGGTGGAGTCTGTTGTGCTCGTACTTGGTTGAAATGAACACCTGCAGCCTTTCAGTTGAATTCCCATGTTATTCATCATCTTAAGCTAATTATTTTGTGTTTATAAGAATTGTATTCAGAACCCAGGACACAGTAAATTGGTCAAGTAAGAAGGCAATAAGTGTTCCCTACTTTTTGTCCACTTTTGAACATTTACTCATTTTTTTCAGAACATTTAAATGAAAGTGAAGTGAATATGAAATGTTTTATTTGGTAGAAATTCCAACATAATACAAAAAATAAAGATGAAAGGAAGTAGGATATTTTGACAGTAAAGCCTACCGCAACCACATGACTGGCACTCATTGACTGCCAGCTGTTTTTGATGATTTCATTGATTCTCAAGACCCACAGAATAATATTTCCTTAGACTATGTGAAATATGAAACCAGCTTCTTAAAGACTGGATTGTCTACTTTGATCAGCAAAAATAATTTTGTTTCTAGCTGTTTTTATTAGCCTGTAATCCCCAGTCGAATAGAGGGTCTCAGACAAATATGTCAGTGGCAGTCAATGGGTTAATAGTCCTGGGTATTTGTAAACCCCCCCCCCTTAACATCAGGGGTACAAAGGTTGGGAACCACTGGTCAAAATGATTTGTCTAAGAGCTGAGTGAGGGTCTTTTCTCTTTCTCACTTTTCCGTCTGATAAAAGTTGATGTAAACATGTGACAGAGGCCAAATAATACTTTTATATGAAAACTGTTTAGAAATCGGGGAACTAGTCACATGGATTTTATTATAGTTCCATTTTTGTGGTTTGAAAGTTAAAACCCTTTTGGCGCCAAAGTAACAGAGCTGCTACACAAGCTCCTGAATCCACTTTCTATACAGCGACTTGGTTTCCCACAAACTTCTCCTCTGTATTTGTTATTGATTAGGTTACAGGATGTCACCTTATTTCACTATACATTTCTCAAAACAACTCTGGCGCCAAAAGGGTTAAACTCCCCAGCGTTAAACGGCAGATCACGTGTCCATAAATTTCATGTTTATGATTGTTAATATTGAACGCACCTTGATAGTGTTGTCTTTTCTACGATTAACTCCTTGTTTTTAGTCATAACCAGCTCAGCCAGCCTTTCAAACTGCCTCACACCCGACAGAAGTCACAGAGCAGCATTGAACTATGTCTTTGTATGATATACTAAAGCAATGTTGTTTGTTTTTATTGTTTTTCAGTTTTTGGAAATAATCAATATTTCAACACATTAATTATAAAGGCCTGTGTGGAAAGTGTGGATTTGTTTTGCTTCGCTCAACATACACTACTTAGTTTAGTATACATATATGACTTTTAATGCTCACTAGCTCTTTTTGGACAGTAAGCCGTGTCATACTGTCAGCTTCTGTGTCGGGACCAGCGGGGGCGGGTCCCAGCTCAAAAGTGGCCAAAATGACGTGCGCTGACATGCTTGCAATACCACCCCGGGCCGATGGAGGTGGACCCGGAATAAGAATTAGCCAATGCTAACATATACTGTAGCATCTTCTTACCTCTCAAAAACGTCTTTACAGGATGGTCCAAAAGTTGGCTCTTGGCCCAAAGCTCCGTTCCACATGTGTGTCAATGCTGAGGGGGGTGATTTTTTTGGACAAGTCTAGTTTAGTCACTGAATTTTTGAAGTCACTCGTTTAAATGAATAGGACCTGGTTAGAACTGTGATGGGAGACATCTCTGTGAACATCAAATGCAAAAATGGGGTGGCTGTAAAGTGCCGGACTGTCTGTGTTAGACAAGACACTTCACCCACATTACCGAGAATAGTAGTAGTTTATCACCACTGTGTATGGGATGAGTGGATAATGACATGTGAGGCGCCTTTGAGAGTCCTGAAAAATATATAAAACCAATGCATTATTTTCATTATTATTATTAACCTGGGATTTCACATAATTATTTCCTCACACCTGCTTTCTGCTGTTCACATAAACCACAGCTGATGGAGCGACTTCTGTCCTTCGTTCCAGGAGATTCTATACCACAATAAAAATACATGCATTGGCCACATTGCCACGATATATTAGTTTTTATTGACATATCTTTTGCAGGACACACTGAGACTTTGGACCAGACCGGGGGGTAACTATTGTACACATCTTTAGTGGTTGGGGAAGCCGGTGCACCTGGAGGAAACCTGCACAGACACGGGAACAACATGCAAACTCCTCTTTAAAAAAAGTCCTGTGTGGAGGTGGAATCAAACCCAGTATATGAAGCAAAGAAACAATGCAGTGAGTGGATTCTGTGCCGCGGTTTTGGTTCAAGTTAGAAGAGCTGCAGTTTTATGGATATTGCTTTAAATCCTCTTAGCGAATGACGGTCTTTCTAAGAATTTACAGGACAATCGGTTGCATCTGCTTCTCTAAATAGGCATCGCGTGGATGTGTCAGATTGAGGTGAAACGCCAGCACAATAGGCTGATTGTGTGAGTACGTCTAACAGGAGAGAGCTCTCATTGGAGTGCTGCTAAAACCCTTTCTTATTGATTGATTTTTGGGTTTCCAGTAAAAGCATTGGACCTTGAAGCGGACAAAGCTTTTAAGTCTTGAGCAGTTATTGAACCGAACAGACTTGTGATTACTGTTGTTGTGCTGTGTTATGTCTTACCTTAGCTTTGCATTTACATTTCAGCAGGAGGATGAATGAGGGTAAATAAATGAATCGGCGTCATCTGAAACCTCTGTGCTGAGATTACAGAAATCCCTAATCCCAGTCTGAGCATGCTTCAGGATCAGGCCATTGGTTAAAACTCTTATCCGGTCACGTCTGCAGAGCTGCAACCTGAGCGGACGCCGGGACTAACTGCATTACTGTTATTTGTTAGGTCCTGGGTCGTTCATCCACTAGAATTACCCTTGTCAATTTGAGATTTACTTTTGCATTATATTCAAAAAGCAAAAAATGCATTGTTCAAGGTGACAGAAATATCAAATGGTTGTAAAATGAGTTGAATATTTTTTATGTTAGAGAGCCACCAGCCCCTTTAAAAAGTGCATTATACAACTTTTAGTGTGAAAAGATATAGTTACTGACTATTTTTTCCCAGTGGCTGAGTGGCATCTTGGAGCCTTTACTTTTGATCACAGCTTTGTCTATAGAAATTTAGGTTTTGTTGTTTTTCG